TTATATCCTGGGTCTGAGTCAAAGTCTGGTTATGTCCTGGGTCAGAGCCAAAGTCAGGTTATATCATGGGTCAAAGCCAAAATCAGGTTATATCATGGGTCGGGGTCAAAGTCAGGTTATATCATGGATCAAAGCCAAATTCAGGTTATATCATGGGTCGGGGCCAAAGTCAGGTTATATCATGGGTCAGAGCCAAAGTTAGGTTATATCATGGGTCGGGGTCAAAGTCAGGTTATATCATGGGTCAGGGTCAAAGTCAGGTTATAGCAAGCGTCAGGGTCAGAGTCAGGTTATGTCCTGGGCCAGGGTCAAAGTCAGGTTATATCCTGGGTCGGAGTCAAAGTCAGGTTATATCCTGGGTCTGAGCCAAAGTCAGGTTATATCCTGGGTCAGAGCCAAAATCAGGTTATATCATGGGTCAGAGCCAAAGAATGGTTATATCATGCGTCAGGGTCAGAGTCTGGTTATATCCTGGGTCAGGGTCAAAGTCAGGTTATATCCTGGGTCGGAGCCAAAGTCAGGTTATATCATGGGTCAGGGTCAAAGACAGGTTATAGCAAGGATCAAAGCCAAAGTCAGGTTATGTCATGGGTCGGTGCCAAAGTCATTTTATATCATGGGTCGGGGCCAGAATCAGGTTATATCATGGGTCAGAGCCAAAGTCTGGTTATATCATGCGTCAGGGACAGAGTCAGGTTATGTCCTGGGCCAGGGTCAAAGTCAGGTTATATCCTGGGTCGGAGTCAAAGTCAGGTTATATCCTGGGTCTGAGCCATAGTCATGTTATATCATGGGTCAAAGCCAAAGTCAGGTTATATCATGGGTCAGGGTGAAAGTCAGGTTATATCATGGGTCAGGGTCAAAGTCAGGTTATATCAAAGATCAAAGCCAAAGTCGGGCTATATAATGGGTCGGGGCCAAAGTCAGGTTATATCATGGGTCAGAGCCAAAGTCAGGTTATGTCCTGGGCCAGGGTCAAAGTCAGGTTATATCCTGGGTCGGAGTCAAAGTCAGGTTATATCCTGGGTCTGAGCCAAAGTCAGGTTATATCATGGGTCAGAGCCAAAATCAGGTTATATCATGGGTCAGAGCCAAAGAATGGTTATATCATGCGTCAGGGTCAGAGTCTGGTTATATCCTGGGTCAGGGTGAAAGTCAGGTTATATCCTGGGTTGGAGCCAAAGTCAGGTTATATCATGGGTCAGGGTCAAAGTCAGGTTATAGCAAGGATCAAAGCCAAAGTCAGGTTATGTCATGGGTCGGTGCCAAAGTCATTTTATATCATGGGTCGGGGCCAGAATCAGGTTATATCATGGGTCAGAGCCAAAGTCTGGTTATATCATGGGTCAGGGTCAGAGTCAGGTTATGTCCTGGGCCAGGGTCAAAGTCAGGTTATATCCTGGGTCGGAGTCAAAGTCAGGTTATATCCTGGGTCTGAGCCATAGTCAGGTTATATCATGGGTCAAAGCCAAAGTCAGGTTATATCATGGGTCAGGGTGAAAGTCAGGTTATGTCATGGGTCAGGGTCAAAGTCAGGTTATATCAAAGATCAAAGCCAAAGTCGGGCTATATAATGGGTCGGGGCCAAAGTCAGGTTATATCATTGGTCAGAGCCAAAGTCAGGTTATATCATGGGTCGGGGTCAAAGTCAGGTTATATCAAGGATCAAAGCCAAATTCAGGTGATATCATGGGTCGGGTCCAAAGTCAGGTTATATTAAGGATCAAAGCCAAAGTCAGGTTATATCATAGATCACAGCCAAAGTCGGTTTATATCATGTGTCGGGGCCAAAGTCAGGTTATATCATGGATCAAAGCCAAAGTCAGGTTATATCATGGGTCGGGGCCAAAGTCAGGTTATATCATGAGTCAGAGCCAAAGTTAGGTTATATCATGGGTCGGGGTCAAAGTCAAGTTATATTCTGGGTCGGGGCCAAAGTCAGGTTATATCATGGGTCGGAGTCAAGGTCAGGTTATGTCATGGGTATGAGGCAAAGTCGGGTTATATCATGGGTCGGGGCCAAAGTCAGGTTATATCATGAGTCAAAGCCAAAATCAGGTTATATCATGGGTCAGAGCCAAAGAATGGTTATATCATGCGTCAGGGTCAAAGTCAGGTTATATCCTGGGTCGGAGCCAAAGTCAGGTTATATCATGGGTCAGGGTCAAAGTCAGGTTATAGCAAGGATCAAAGCCAAAGTCAGGTTATGTCATGGGTCGGAGTCAAGGTCAGGTTATGTCATGGGTAAGAGGCAAAGTCGGGTTATATCATGGGTCGGGACCAAAGTCTGGTTATATCATGGGTCAGAGCCAAAATCAGGTTATATCATGGGTCAGAGCCAAAGAATGGTTATATCATGCGTCAGGGTCAGAGTCTGGTTATATCCTGGGTCAGGGTCAAAGTCAGGTTATATCCTGGGTCGGAGCCAAAGTCAGGTTATATCATGGGTCAGAGCCAAAGTCGGGTTATATCATGCGTCAGGGTCAGAGTCAGGTTATGTACTGGGTCAGGGTCAAAGTCAGGTTATATCCTGGGTCTGAGTCAAAGTCTGGTTATGTCCTGGGTCAGAGCCAAAGTCAGGTTATATCATGGGTCAAAGCCAAATTCAGGTTATATCATGGGTCGGGGTCAAAGTCAGGTTATATCATGGATCAAAGCCAAATTCAGGTTATATCATGGGTCGGGGCCAAAGTCAGGTTATATCATGGGTCAGAGCCAAAGTTAGGTTATATCATGGGTCGGGGTGAAAGTCAGGTTATATCATGGGTCGGGGTCAAAGTCAGGTTATAGCAAGCGTCAGGGTCAGAGTCAGGTTATGTCCTGGGCCAGGGTCAAAGTCAGGTTATATCCTGGGTCGGAGTCAAAGTCAGGTTATATCCTGGGTCTGAGCCATAGTCAGGTTATATCATGGGTCAAAGCCAAAGTCAGGTTATATCATGGGTCAGGGTGAAAGTCAGGTTATATCATGGGTCAGGGTCAAAGTCAGGTTATATCAAAGATCAAAGCCAAAGTCGGGCTATATAATATGTCGGGGCCAAAGTCAGGTTATATCATGGGTCAGAGCCAAAGTCAGGTTATGTCCTGGGCCAGGGTCAAAGTCAGGTTATATCCTGGGTCGGAGTCAAAGTCAGGTTATATCCTGGGTCTGAGCCAAAGTCAGGTTATATCATGGGTCAGAGCCAAAATCAGGTTATATCATGGGTCATGGTCAAAGTCAGGTTATATCATGGGTCAGGGTCAAAGTCAGGTTATATCAAGGATCAAAGCCAAAGTCGGGCTATATAATGGGTCGGGGCCAAAGTCAGGTTATATCATGGGTCAGAGCCAAAGTCAGGTTATATCATGGGTCGGGGTCAAAGTCAGGTTATATCAAGGATCAAAGCCAAATTCAGGTGATATCATGGGTCGGGGCCAAAGTCAGGTTATATTAAGGATCAAAGCCAAAGTCAGGTTATATCATGGATCACAGCCAAAGTCGGTTTATATCATGTGTCGGGGCCAAAGTCAGGTGATATCATGGGTCAGAGCCAAAGTTAGGTTATATCATGGGTCGGGGTCAAAGTCAAGTTATATTCTGGGTCGGGGCCAAAGTTAGGTTATATCATGGGTCGGAGTCAAGGTCAGGTTATGTCATGGGTAAGAGGCAAAGTCGGGTTATATCATGGGTCGGGGCCAAAGTCAGGTTATATCATGGGTCAGAGCCAAAATCAGGTTATATCATGGGTCAGAGCCAAATAATGGTTATATCATGCGTCAGGGTCAGAGTCTGGTTATATCCTGGGTCGGAGCCAAAGACAGGTTATATCATGGGTCAGGGTCAAAGTCCCACATATCAAGGTATTCTAGACTTTCAACAACACAGCTTTGATTCAGTCATTCTGACAGCTGGATACCCATTCACAGTAAGTCCCACATATCAGGGTATTCTAGATTTTCAACAACATAGCTTTGATTCAGTCATTCTGACAGCTGGATACCCATTCACAGTAAGTCCCCAATATCAAGGTATTCTAGACTTTCAACAACATAGCTTTGATTCAGTCACTCTGACAGCTGGATACCCATTCGCAGTAAGTCCTACATATCAGGGTATTCTAGACTTTCAACAACATAGCTTTGATTCAGTCATTCTGACAGCTGGATACCCATTCGCAGTAAGTCCCACATATCAGGGTATTCTAGACTTTCAACAACACAGCTTTGATTTAGTCATTCTGACAGCTGGATACCCATTCACAGTAAGTCCTACATATCAGGGTATTCTAGACTTTCAGCAACATAGCTTTGATTCAGTCATTCTGACAGCTGGATACCCATTCGCAGTAAGTCCCACATATCAAGGTATTCTAGACTTTCAACAACATAGCTTTGATTCAGCCATTGGACAGCTGGATACCCATTATTCTAGACTTTCAACAACACAGCTTTGATTCAGTCATTCTGACAGCCGGATACCCATTCGCAGTAAGTCCCACATATCAGGGTATTCTAGACTTTCAACAATACAGCTTTGATTCAGACATTGGACAGCTGGAATACGACGCACACCGAATCACTTCCCTTTACCCAACGCATTCGGATTAACAGCGCTTCATTTCAGCTCAACGATACATATGTGAGATGAGGAAGTGCCCTGAGGTGGGCTCCGATATATTTCTCAGTTGGTTACATGAGTTGGCAACATGGAAAATAACTGGCCGCTCCTCAACCAATCAGAAGATAGAATTTGAATGTAATGTGAAAGGCTGAGGTAGGTAGTGGGGCCGAGGAACAATGTGTGAAGCCTGTCTTACAACATTTCTAAAGGCGATGAATTGGATATGGACTCGCGTTATAAATTCTATAACTATTGAATACAAACATTAATTCTATGTTACTTCCAAAGCGAAGCATATTTTCCTATTAAAGACCCGAGTGAACTAACGATGTTATGTCGGGTCCCCCAATGGATTGGCGGAAGCGCAAGGTAGGAATTAAAGCTAACACAGAAGCCATCTCACCGTCGTCCATTGTCAGGGTGTCTTCTATGCAGTAGCAGCAGTCAACGTAGGGCACCTGTAAGCAGATATACAGTAAACTACGTATATAACGAACACGTTTATAACGAACTGACGGATATAACGAACTATTTCCTTTTTTGTATATATGTTGTACAAAAGCTTACAACAAACTGCGGTTATAACGAATTAATATGAGTGGTCCCTATGAGTTCATTATAACCGAAGTTTACTGTATGTATGTTTACATTCTGGTTATCAAATATTGGTCATACTTTCAATTCTGATTTCATCAAATGTAAAATTAATCTCTGCATTATTTGAATTCTCGTAGAAAATGTCGGAGAGGAAGCGCATTCCTCGACATAATGCGCAACTGACGACGTGAAGGTCCCGCTTACCATGACATCCTGTCTAACTGTCTACTGTCGCAGTGAAGGTTCATCAAACCATGACATTCTGTCTAACTGTCTACTGTCGCAGTTAAGGTCCCGCTTACCATGACATCCTGTCTAACTGTCTACTGTCGCAGTGAAGGTCCCGCTAACCATCACATCATGTCTGTCTACTGTCGCAGGGAAGGTCCCGCTAACCATCACATCATGTCTGTCTACTGTCGCAGTGAAGGTCCCGCTAACCATGACATCCTATCTTGTCTACTGTCGAAGTGAAGGTCCCGCTAACTATGACATCCTATCTTGTCTACTGTCGATGTGAAGGTCCCGCTAACTATGACATCATGTCTAACTGTCTACTGTCGCAGTGAAGGTCCCGCTAACCATGACCCATTTCTAACTGTCTACTGTCGCAGTGAAGGTCCCGCTAACCATGACCCATGTCTAACTGTCTACTGTCGCAGTGAAGGTCCCGCTAACCATGACATCCCATCTAACTGTCTACTGTCGCAGTGAAGGTCCCGCTAACCATCACATCATGTCTGTCTACTGTCGCAGGGAAGGTCCCGCTAACCATGACCTCTTGTCTAACTGTCTACTGTCGCAGTGAAAGGTCCCGCTAACCATCACATCCCATCTAACTGTCTACTGTCGCAGGGAAGGTCCCGCTAACCATCACATCATGTCTGTCTACTGTCGCAGGGAAGGTCCCGCTGACCATCACATCATGTCTGTCTACTGTCGCAGTGAAGGTCCCGCTAACCATGACATCCCATCTAACTGTCTACTGTCGCAGGGAAGGTCCCGCTAACCATCACATCATGTCTGTCTACTGTCGCAGGGAAGGTCCCGCTAACCATCACATCCCATCTAACTGTCTACTGTCGCAGGGAAGGTCCCGCTAACCATCACATCATGTCTGTCTACTGTCGCAGGGAAGGTCCCGCTAACCATCACATCATGTCTGTCTACTGTCGCAGTGAAGGTCCCGCTAACCATGATATCCCATCTAACTGTCTACTGTCGCAGGGAAGGTCCCGCTAACCATCACATCATGTCTGTCTACTGTCGCAGGGAAGGTCCCGCTAACTATGACCTCTTGTCTAACTGTCTACTGTCGCAGTGAAAGGTCCCGCTAGCTATGACCTCTTGTCTAACTGTCTACTATCGCAGTGAAAGGTACCGCTAACAATGACATCCTGTCTAACTCTTTACTATCACTGTGAAGAACCTTTTTCCCTGTTGGGGCGGTCGGGTAGCCTAGTGGTTAAAGCGTTCGCTAGTCACGCCGAAAATTCGGGTTCGATTCTCGACATGAGAACAATGTGTGAAGTTCATTTCACGCCGTGATAGTGCTTGAATATTTCTAAATGCGGCTTAAAATCAAACTCACCCACTCACTTATTCCCTGTCTAGCGCCACACTCAATTTACCTTATCTCGCATGAGAATACTATTTACAAATCGTCAGATACACATAAGAAAATAAATTGCAATAAATACATCAATATTCCACACACACACACACACACACACACACACACACACACACACACACACACACACATACATACATTATATAGAAATAAAAAAAGATACAAGATATTTTCCAACGATAACTACCTTGCTCACCGAGTCCGTCTTGGTCGTCCGGCTTTGTGCTGTGGTTGCTCGCTCCCTCACATTTTTATGGGAGAGCAGTAGGAAGTCCCAAGCTAAATATAGAACTCAGTAACGTGGATTTCCCTCGAATATGCGCAGCACTATTGCGAGACTGTCGGTATATCTGTTTTCCTTTCGTTTGGGAATCCATCATATCACAAGTTAAAACACATCTCTGACGTCATTCTATTGTTTGAACGCTCCATTATTTTTTCAGGAATGGAGAGTTGCTTGTCAACTGTACATTATCTTGAAGCAGCATTTGAATTTTTCAAATATTTTCAACTACAGAATATTTTGTCAAAGTGTAAAAGTAGGGATGAGTTTTAAGTAGGGGAATATCCTCGTAACTCTCCATTCCTTAAAAATCATGGGCCTCGGCCCCTGCGGGGGCTCTGCTCCATTATTTTTAAGGAATTGAGAGTTATGAGAAAATGAGCAGTTCAGAGAAAATGTACATGTATGTCTCCTGCAAGGTATATGTATATCTGTTGAATGCATTATGGGGTTGTTTTTAGAAAATCAGGTTTTTGTCAGGTGTTACGTCCAAATATAATGTTCAGCGATGCCTCTTAAAACAATGAATTGCGAGGTAAGAAGGTGTTTGGATTATATACTGTATGTAACAGTGATCGATATATCTCATGGAAGCGTTGGTGGATTCGTCGCTAGGAGGCGAGCAATGAAACTGCCCTAATTATTAACGGGTGTGGCCCGTCGTGTGATTCACAAGCCTGAACGTAGAAACAGAAAGTACAATTCCTTGAAAGACAAAGTATGCTTCATATAAACACGGTGTTAATTTGCTTCCTGGATCACCTTAGCTTAGCTGGAGGACGGTGTTTGCAGATACCAATCAGCCCATAAAATAATGCCTCGTCATATGTCAGTGCATTTCACACTTGCCCCCGCCAACTTAGGATTCTTGAGGAATATGATCAAATAAAACCACCAACACGAATCTTGAGTTACGATGAGTTGTTTTTGTTTGACGTCGCACTCAGCAATAGTCGAGTCTGGACCAGACACTCTACTGCTTGACATTGTGAGCAACGGTCCACATCATGGGTCAACCTTGCAATTGCCTATCCACCGATCCATGTGTGGCTCCCTACGACCAGCATAGGATGCTGGGGGATAATTCTAACCCGGAGTCCCCACAAGGTTTGTGACGATCAGCTGCACATCCTAGATGTCCTGTAACCATCAGCTGCACATCCTAGATGTCCTGTAACCATCAGCTGCACATCCTAGATGTCCTGTAACCATCAGCTACACGTCCTGTAACCATCAGCTGCACATCCTAGATGTCCTGTAACCATCAGCTACACGTCCTGTAACCATCAGCTGCACATCCTAGATGTCCTGTAACCATCAGCTACACGTCCTGTAACCATCAGCTGCACATTCTGTAACCATCAGCTACACGTCCTGTAACCATCAGCTGCATATCCTAGATGTCATGTAACCATCAGCTACACCTCCTGTAACCATCAGCAATATGTCACGCAACGATCAGCTGTATGTCCCAGATGTCCTGTAACGATCAGCTACACATCCTAGATGTCCTGTAACCATCAGCTGCACATCCTAGATGTCCTGTAACCATCAGCTACACGTCCTAGATGTCCTGTAACCATCAGCTGCACATCCTAGGTGTCCTGTAACCATCAGCTACACGTCCTGTAACCATCAGCTGCACATTCTGTAACCATCAGCTACACGTCCTGTAACCATCAGCTGCACATCCTAGATGTCATGTAACCATCAGCTACACGTCCTGTAACCATCAGCAATATGTCACGCAACGATCAGCTGTATGTCCCAGATGTCCTGTAACGATCAGCTACACATCCTAGATGTCCTGTAACCACCAGCTGCACATCCTAGATGTCCTGTAACCATCAGCCGCACATCCTAGATGTCCTGTAACCATCAGCTACACGTCCTGTAACCATCAGCTGCACATTCTGTAACCATCAGCTACACGTCCTGTAACCATCAGCTGCATATCCTAGATGTCATGTAACCATCAGCTACACGTCCTGTAACCATCAGCAATATGTCACGCTACGATCAGCTGTATGTCCAAGATGTCCTGTAACGATCAGCTACACATCCTAGATGTCCTGTAACCACCAGCTGCACATCCTAGATGTCCTGTAACCATCAGCTGCACATCCTAGATGTCCTGTAACCATCAGCTACACGTCCTGTAATGATCAGCTGCACATCCTAGATGTCCTGTAACCATCAGCTGCACATCCTAGATGTCCTGTAACCATCAGCTGCACATCCTAGATGTCCTGTAACCATCACCTGCACATCCTAGATGTCCTGTAACCATCAGCTACGCGTTACGATCATGTACATGTCCTGTAACCATCAGCTGCATATTCTAGATGTCCTGTAACCATCAGCTACACGTCCTGTAACCATCAGCTGCACATCCTAGATGTCCTGTAACCATCAGCTACACGTAATGATCAGCTGCACATCCTAGATGTCCTGTAACCATCAGCTACGCGTTACGATCATGTACATGTCCTGGATGTCTTGTAACGATCAGCTGCACATCCTAGATGTCCTGTAACCATCAGCTACACATCCTAGATGTCCTGTAACCATCAGCTACACGTCCTGTAACGATCAACTGCACATCCCTGATGTCCTGTAACCATCAGCTGCACATCCTAGATGTCCTGTAACCATCAGCTACACGTCCTGTAACCATCAGCTGCACATCCTAGATGTCCTGTAACCATCAGCTACACGTCCTGTAACCATCAGCTGCACATCCTAGATGTCCTGTAACCATCAGCTACACGTCCTGTAACCATCAGCTGCACATCCTAGATGTCCTGTAACCATCAGCTACACGTAACGATCATGTATATGTCCTGGATGACTTGTAACGATCAACTGCACACCCTAGATGTCCTGTAACGATCAGTTGCATGTCCTGTAACGATCTGCTGCACACCTTAGATGTCCTGTAACGATCAGTTGCATGTCCTGTAACGATCTGCAGCACACCCTATATGTCCTGTAACGAGCAGCTCCATGTCCTGGATGTGCTGTAACGACCAGCAGCACGCCCTAGATGTCCTGTCACGATCAGTTGCATGTCCTGTAACGACCAGCAATACGCCCTAGATGTCCTGTGACGATCAGTTGCATGTCATGTAACGATCTGCTGCACACCCTAGATGTCCTGTCACGATCAGCTGCACGCCCTAGATGTCCTGTAACGATCAGCTGCACGCCCTAGATGTCCTGTCACGATCAGCTGCATGCTCTGTCACGATCAGCTGCATGTCCTGTTACGATTTGCTACATGTCCTTGATGTCCTGTAACGATCAGCTTCATGTCCTGGATGTCCTGTAACGATCTGTTACATGTCCTTGATGTCCTGTAACGATCAGATACATATCCTGGATGTCCTGTAACGATCAGCTACATGACCTTGATGTCCTGTAACGATCAGCTACATGTCCTGGATGTCCTGTAACGATCTGTTACATGTCCTTGATGTCCTGTAACGATCAGCTACATGTCCTGGATGTCCTGTAACGATCAGCTACATGTACTTGATGTCCTGTAACGATCAGCTACATATCCTGGATGTCCTGTAACGATCTGCTACATGTCCTTGGTGTCCTGTAACGATCAGATACATGTCCTTGATGTCCTGTAACGATCAGCTACATGTCCTTGATGTCCTGTAACGATTAGCTACATGTCCTTGATGTCCTGTAACGATATGCTACATGTCCTGTTACGATCAGCTACATGTCCTGTAACGATCAGCTACATGTCCTTGATGTCCTGTAACGATATGCTACATGTCCTGTAACGATCAGCTACATGTCCTTGATGTCCTGTAACGATCAGCTACATGTCCTTGATGTCCTGTAACGATATGCTTCATGTCCTGTAACGATCAGCTACATGTCCTGTAACGATCAGCTACATGTCATTGATGTCCTGTAACGATATGCTACATGTCCTGTAACGATCAGCTACATGTCCTGTAACGATCAGCTACATGTCCTTGATGTCCTGTAACGATCAGCTACATGTCCTAGATGTCCTGTAACGATCAGCTACATGTCCTTGATGTCCTGTATCGATCAGCTACATGTCCTTGATGTCCTGTAACGATATGCTACATGTCCTAGATGCCCTGTACTGATTTGTGACTAAAATTAAGACTGGAAAAAGAACTATTCTTGAAACTGTCTGACAACATTATCTTACGTACGACACTTTTATCTAATACAGTGGCCGCTTTCGTGACGGAGATAACATAAGCTGAATGTTTCCCAATGACGTCATCGATTTTAAAGGGAATTCCCTTGATCGAAAGATTCCTCTTTTTTTCTAACGAAAACAATATGATCGCTATTGAAGATACATGTTGGTGTTATGATGCCAATTGTGATGCTGTGCACTCTTGATCAATGGAGGTGTGTCGCTGTTTTCCTATAGACAGACAAAGCAAGTAATGAAGACTAATATGTAGAATCTGAAAGGATGATGCCGAAGGAAAACTAAATAAGATAAAACATCCATGTGTACATAAGGAGCAATGACCACTAACTCGCCACACAGCACAAAGCCGATGTTGCTATCAGGGAGCCACGTCACAGTGGCGGGACGTGACAGATATGTCGCCAGTATGTCGCCAGTATGTCGCCAGTATGTCGTATTGTTGCGATATGTATTGGCTAACACATTTTACGACGTTAATGTCATTCAGTTCAATCACACACCTGAAACCTAAAGTAATTTCTTAACAAAGTTAGGACGATAACCGTGCAGCAAGGGAAGCAACAACGTTCAACTCCAACAACAACGTTCAACTCCAACAACAACGTTCAACTCCAACAAAAACGTTCAACTCCAACGACAACGTTCAACTCCAACAACAACGTTCAACTCCAACAACAACGTTCAACTCCAACAACAACGTTCAAC